CCCCATCTCACAGTCTGCTTGCGCAGAACCTGACCTGAGATACCATGGTTTCTTTGATAAGAAATGGTGTTTAGAGACTAGATCTGTGATCACTGCTACTGGTTGTTTTTTTTTTTTTTTTTTTTTTTTATTGCTTTCAGACTTTTTGGTGAATTTTTTTTTCTTCTTCAAAATAGGGTCTCACTCTGTGCCCAGGCTGGAGTGAGTGATGTCATCACAGCTCACTGCAGCCTCCAACTCCTGGGCTCAAGTGACCCTCGTGCCTCAGTCTCCAGAGTAGCTGGGACTACAGGTGCCACCACTACGCCTGAATAATTTTTAATTTTTTGTAGAGATAGCATCTTGCTGTGTTGCCCAGGCAGATCTCAAACTCCTGGCCTCATGTGATCCTCCTGCTTCAGCCACCTAGAGTGCTGGGATTATAGGCAGGAGCCACTGTGCCAGCTGATGTCTTTTTTTTTTAAGAGAAAACTGTGTCATGAATTTGATGGCATTTGTAATTCAAAGTGAAAATTATAGGACTTTTTCTTCACTCCTTTTATATTTATGCCTTTTTTCTTCTATCCTGAAAATTTTGACTTATTGTCTTTTTACTTCACTTATTTTTTATATGCAATATTTTTAAAAATTCTATTTAATTATTTGCTCCTGCATATAAATATTGATTGTATATAAATACAAGCAATTTTCATCTAATTATTTTGTGTTGAGAGTTACCAGACAACCCTTTTGTTATTCTAAATAGTTTTTCTATAGATTATTTTGGTTTTTCGGTAGACACAGTTATACCATCTGTGGATATATCATTTTTGACCCATGAATTCTTTAAAGTCTTTTTCAATTTCAAAATGTAAAATTTCAATTTTAGTTAATCTTCTTCTCTCAGACTACTGCCTTAATTCCTAACTCAGTTGAACTGTGGTTAGAGAACATGCTTGGTATGGTAGTTTCTTTTGAGATTTATTTACAATTGCTTTCTGGCTTAGCTTATGGTCAACTTTTTTATGGGCAGCCTTTGTAAATGTTCTGTCTTTGCTTAAGAGGAATATCTTTTCTGTAAATGTAAAAAACAGTGAATTCTTTATATTTGCATGCTAAATCAAGTTTGCTACTTGTATTACTCAAGTATTCTATATATTTACTAAAATTTTGCCTGATTGACCTATCAATAATTAAGAGGGATTTATTGAAACTTTTTTCTCTTGGCAAATCTGTAAGGTCTCTTGCTTTATATATTTATTTATGTATTTAATGCAATTATTTTGAATAGTTTGAAATGTGCAGCACAGTATAAAAATGATCTAATAGATTACTAAGCAACTATTATATACATTTCTAAAATAGTAACTATGTGCTTCTGAATTTCCTTTGTAGGGGCTTATTTCTTCCTTTAAAAAGACTTTCTATTAAAATATATAAGTAGTTATCTTCTTTAATTCTCATAATTATTTTTGTCTGTATGAATATAGATCCCTGAGCTTTTTTATTTTTAAATGAGCATTTGCCAGATACATCTTTTTTCATCTTTTGACTTTCATCCTTTATGTGGCTTTATATTTTAGGCTTGTCTCTTGGAAACTATGTATTTTGTAACTGTATTTTATAAAATCTGGCTGAATCTCTATCGCTTAATTGCAAAGTTTATTATGACTATTAATTTACTTGGACTTGCTTCATCTATCTTAGATTATGACATTTGCTCCATTTTTCTTAGGCTTTTTTGTCTTTTTATTTTATTTATTTATTTATTTTTTTTGAGACAGAGTCTTGCTTTGTTGCCCAGGCTAGAGTGAGTGCCGTGGCGTCAGCCTAGCTCACAGCAACCTCTAACTCCTGGGCTCAAGGGATCCTGCTGCCTCAGCCTCCTGAGTAGCTGGGACTACAGGCATGCGCCACCATGCCCGGCTAATTTTTCCTATATATTAGTTGGCCAATTAATTTCTTTCTATTTATAGTAGAGACTGGGTCTTGCTCTTTCTCAGGCTGGTTTTGAACTCCTGACCTAGAGCAATCCGCCCGCCTCGGCCTCCCAGAGTGCTAGGATTACAGGCGTGAGCCACCGCACCCGGCCTGCTTTTTAATATTACTTGATTTTGATTGTGTATTTGCTTACATATCACCATTTTTCCTTCTCCTGGTTTAAAAACTATAGATTCTATTTCTGTTCTTTTAGTGGTTACCCTTATAATTTTACCCTGCATGTACAACAAAAATCTATAGTTGTTCTATTTTTTAACCTCCCTTTTAACAGTACTAAAGGCCTTAGAACAGTAGCTTCAATCACATTTCTCCCAACTTCTTTGTTACTGTTTTCTACCATTTTAGCCCTTTTTATGAAATCCCACAGAATAGATATTATTATTGTTTTGACTTTATAGAGTCTATGTTTATTTAGATTTACCAATTTATTGGCTTGCTAATATTTTGGCCTACCTTTCAGTCTTGCATCTCAAACCTTCCTTTAACGGTTTTTTTTCTTCCTGATTTTCTTTCTTCCTGAAGTGCAGGCATTCCTGCATAGCATGACACATGCATTCCTGAAAATGCCATGCACTGAAAATAGTAGAGCTAGAGGAAAAATAGAGTTGGACTACATGACTTAAGACCTGTCTAACTCTGTAATCAGAACTCTAAAAAACAAGAATGCCCCTAATAAAAAATAATAGCAAAGTCTGGTCTGCGTTGGCATTTGCACCAGTATCAAAACCCCTTGCTCCTTCCTCAGCAGCCTTCAGCCCTGAGGCTCAGCCCGCGCTTTCCTGGGAGACCAGCCTCCGCCTGCGCTTGAGCAGCTGTGACTTGAGGGGATTCTGGAGCCAAACTGGTTCTCTTTTCCCGGTTTGCTTTATTGTTTTTGTGGAAGAAGTATGGTTCTAAATAATAAATATTTCTTACTTTAAAAGTATCATATGGATATCTAAACCCTCTGAGCTGCTCCTAGACCTCAGGACAACAACACTGAAGCGTCCTCCGTCCGGCCTTCCTGTTGGCACGCGTCAGGAGCTCAGCGCCCATTCACGATCTCGTTGCCTCTGCAGGGCAGGAGCTGAGACCCCTGTCACCTCCCGTAACCAGCTTCGTCCCCTCTCGTCCCCCCCCCACGTGGGCACGGACATTTCAAGCTGGTGCAGGATCCCAGCCACGGCTACAGCCAGGCTCAGCCTGAGCTAAACCCCTGATTGAATTAAAGCAATAAATCCTTCATCCTATCTGCCTGTTAGCGAAAAGGGGAACCCTCACTGGTAGAAGACATTATCAGGAGTATTTCTGTTTCCTTTATGTATAATGCCCAGCATGCAATAAAAACTGTTAGGCCTACAAAGAGGCAGGACAAAGAAAGTATAATAAAAAAAAAAAAACAGACTCACCATCTGAAAGCCATTCAGAGATTACACAGCTTCCATTCTGGTGTTATGAGCTCATCTGGGGTATATAAGTATGTAGCCTACCTTTTTTTTTTTAACTTACCACGTCATAAGCCTCTTCTTACATCTCTGAAGTCATTTAAAGTTAATGTAATTTAATTTATCAATTTATTTATAGAAATGGGGGGTCTCACTATATTGCCCAGGCTGGACTCGAACTCCTGGGCTCAGGTGATCCTCCCACCTCAGCTTCCTGAGTAGCTGGAACCACAGGCCTGAGCATTTTTAATATCCATTGTATGGTGCTTCATATAAATATTGCATATTTTACTTAATCTGTGGTTGTATGTTTTATGATTTTTGTCACTGTTGAAGAACTTATAACAAAGACTTTTGTGAATACAAATTGTGGGTATGCTTGATTTCCTTAGCAGATAATGTCTTATAAATTAGCAGATTTTTTTAGGGCTTTAAGTAAACATTTGCAAATTGATTTCTCAGAAGGTTATATACTTTATGTTTTCAGCAGGGAAATTTGGTGGTGACCATTTCAAAGTGGTTGCTGTACAGCAGCTCGCACCGATGGGCCAGGCGGGCTATCGGCGCTCTGAGCTCACGGCCTTGTGGTGTGGATGTGCCACTGTGGCCCCAGCTGTTTCCACGTCCTCCTCCAGGCTCTTTTCTCGGCCCAGCCACTGTCTGCAGGATGTCAGGGTGGCCGGTGGCCAAAGGGGGCTTGGAGCCCTGGGCTCCGCAGCAGGCTGTGCAGATGAGCACATTTTTGTTGCTCTCTAACGTCCTCTTTGCTTTTATGATTCTTCAAAGAAGTAAAAATGAGACACAGCGGCGGGAGGGGGTTAGAGTCACCTCACTGTCTTCCCTGGTGTCCCTGACCGAGGTCTCGAGGGCTCTGTCACCCACACGACTTGAAACACACATCAGCATAGTTCGGGATGAAGAATCATTGTGAGAAAACACTGTGCGTGGCCTGCAGCATCTCCCTGAAACACGTCAGGCCCTGGCCGTCTCTGTCCTGGGGAGTCTGATTTGCGGGAGCAGCGCTGGGGCGAGCAGAGGATGGGCCTCGAGGAGGGGCAGGTCGGTCGGGGGCACAGGACCCACAGGGACCCGCGAAGAGTGGTCTGCGAGCAGAGACGGGCCGGCAAGCCCCTCCTGGATCCGGAGGTCCTTCTGAGCTCCCTGCATGGCGGGCCCTCAGCCAGGGTCCGCAGGGAGAAAATCCCAGGTCGGTCAGGCTGGACGGCGACAGTCAGGCAGCCAGCCCCGCCTGGCCTGTGCTGCCGCTCTGAGATCCAACCACAGGTCTGGCTCTGGGAGCGTCTAGACTGAAGGCACTGTGGGCGGTACCTGGCTTGGTGTGTTCCCACCCCAACCCCAGTGAAGCCAGAGGCGAGGAGGGGCCGTCAGGGAATCTGCAGTCTGGGGTTGTGGCCGTGGCCCTGCCTGTGGCCCCTCGCCATGTGTGTGCGGCGGCGTGCTTAGCCGAGCCCTTCCTGGGCAAGCCCTTGAGGACCTGCTGTGCTGGCCCATGGCCTCGGAGCGGGGAGAGACCCACGTGCTGTGGGCCTTATGGTGCATGGGCACCACATCCTCACCTGTGCTACATTCCCGCAGGTGGCAACGTGGACCTGGAGGGCCAAGCAGAGGGGAAGAAGGAGGCGGAAGCCGACGACGGCGTGAGGAGCGGCCCCCGGCCCATCGTCCCGTACAGCTCCATGTTCTGCTTGAGCCCCACCAACCTGTGAGTCCCTGCCTTGCCCTGCCGTGACTGTCCCTTCATGCACTCGCCGTGGCCCCCTGGGACACAGGAGCCAGCAGGGCCTGGGCACACAGAACCCACAAGGACCTAGGCTGTGCGCTCTGCTGCGCACACGCCTTCGCTTGTCCCTGCAGCCCCTTGACACACATGCCCTGTTGTCACCCCCTTCTTGGAAGAGGACACAGACGCGCAGAGGCCAGTCTGGTGGAGCCAGGTCCGAGTCTGGACGGCCAGCACCAGAGCCGCTCCTTACCCCCTGCAGTGTTTGTCCTCTCCGCACACATGGCTGTCTGCATGTGGGCAGACGCTTCCATTGCACCCGCCACCCACATGTGCACACGTGTGCAGGGTCTCTGTTCACATGTCCATCGCATGTCCTCTCCTGTGTGTACCTATCACATGTTGCCAGCCGCTCCTCAGCCCAGGTGCTTTCATCTGTCCAGCCTGGGCTCTGCATGGCAGTGGACGTTCTGGACGCCGGGGACGCCCAGGAATGTGCGAGACGGGTTGGAACCCTATCCCTGCTGGGCTTACGTGCTAGTAGGGGTGACAGATAGCAGGCGCGATGCCTGAGTCAGGGACAGGCGGGGTCAGACAGAGACACTGCAGGGGAGACACAAAGCAGGGAGGCGGCACTGCCGAGGTGCCAAGTTAGATGGAAGGTCGGTGGGTGGGGCCAGAGGTGAGACCTGAGTGGAGATTTGAGGGAGGGGCTGTGCTCCAGCCCAGCCAGGGTGGGTGGGGCAGACAGGCGGTCTGAGCACGGAAGGGCGGGCTGACCCTGCACTGCCCACTGCAGTCTGCCTGGCCCCTCGTCCTGCCGCAGCGGCCAGAGGGATCCCCACCGGCCTCCAGCACTCACCCCTGCCTCCCTGTGTCCTCGTGCCCTCACTCCACGCATGCTTGTGGGGTGTGGTCCCTGCCATGTCAGGACTGCCGTGTACTGGGGGAGAGAATGGGAATGCCGGTAGGTGCAGCGTGAAAATGGCTTGATGGGAAGGAGCTGGCATCGGGGAGCAGGTGGGCAGTCTCCTGGAGGAGGAGGCACCTCAGCGGAAACCTGAAGGGTGGAAAGTGCTGGGACGAAGAGGGGGGGGACACAGGAGGCAGCAGGCCACAGGCAGCTGGAGGCAGAGTGGAGATGGGGCAGGCCTGCCACGGGTGTCTGGGGAGCGGGTGGCACTGGAGGTGTGCTGTTCGGACTGCACCTCCTCAGGGTCCTCTGATGAGAAGAAGGGAGACGGAGACCACTTGGTGGGCGTGTGGGGCTTTAGGAAGAGACGGCAGTGGTTTGACCAGGGCAGTCGGAGCGGAGAGGTTTGGAAGTCAGTGTTCAGGAGAGGTTTTGGAGGCAAAGTCTGGTGACACTTTATTTATTTATTTTAAAATTTAATTAAATTAATTAATTTATTTTTTGAGACAGAGTCTCTCACTCTGTTGCCTGGGCTAGAGTGCTGTGGCATCAGCCTAGCTCACAGCAACCTCAGATTCCCAGGCTCAATCGATCCTCCTGCCTCAGCCCCAAGTAACTGGGACTACAGGCATGCACCATCATGCCCAGCTAATTTTTTTTCCTATATATTTTAGTTGGCCAATTAATTTCTTTCTAATTTTTAGTAGAGACAGGGTCATTTCAAACTCCTGACCTTGAGATGTTCCCGCCTAGGCCTCCCAGAGTGCTAGGATTATAGGTGTGAGCCACTGCGCCTGGCCCTTGGTGACACTTTAGATGGGGAAAGGGAAAAGATGTCAGGGACGACACCAGTCTCTGCTGGACGGCCGGATGGAAGGCAGTGCGTTCACCAAGACTGGCAGTGCTGTTGGGGCTCCGGCTGAGCCAGGGGTTCAGTCCATAGACCCTGCAAAGCCCAGGGCAGCTGGGGGCCAGGGGGCCTGGGGGCTCAGCTGGAGGTGAAGCTGAGTGGCAGAAACCCAGACACAAGCTGGACTGGGCAGCTGCTGCAGTAGGAGAAAAGGCATGTCTTTTAAGCAGGGAGAAGTGAGGGGTGAGGAACCTACAGGCCGTCAGTGGGCCTGGAGGGGAGGAGCCAGAGGGGGACGAGGAGATGCACTTGGGGTCCCTCCAAGGGAGAGAGAAGTGGGAGGTCCTTGGAGATGGAAGGTCCTTGGGACGTCGGTGTATGAGCCAGGAGAGGACGGTGGGGCAGGGGGCATGTCTGGGAGGCAGGTGGCACCTGGACAGTACATCCCTTTTGTCAGCAGGAGAGACAGTCCACCCCCCACCATGCACTGCTGCTTGTAGCACTCATCTGCACAGGAGTCCCATGTCTACGCCCCACTGTTTGCTGGGTGTCACCTGCTGGAAAGGGGCCTCCTGAGGCCAGGGACTGCCTGTCCTGTTCCTCGCTGTGTCCCCCGGCGTCCAGCACACGCCGCAGGGCAGGTGCTCAGTGACGTTGACTGAGCAAGTGCAGGTGAACAGGTGGCCGGAGCAGCAGGCGAGCGTGCGCCCTGGGAGCGTGGATGGGCACACACCCAGGACGGCCCCAGAGACGTTTCCTGGGCCAGGATGCTGGTGCCAAGGTCCCTGCTCTCTGGGCAGCTCCCTCCACCCTACTACCTGCAGCAAACCTGTTTGTGAACGGCTAGGCTGGCGCTTTGGAGCCATACACGGGTTGCATGCCTCAGCTGTGCTGCAGACAGTAGACAGACAAACGGATGTACCGTGTTTCCCCAAAAATAAGACAGGGTCTTGTATTTATTTTTGCTCAAGAAGACACCTAGGGCTTATTTTCAGGGGCTGTTTCATTTTCCCCTCAAAGCCTCAGCTTACAGCACGCACAGGATGGCCAGGACCTGACGGGGAGCCGACCTTGTTGGTGGGGCTGCCCGCACCTTTCCGGTCACCTCTGGGATAGTAGCTGTCACGATGGGGCAGATGAGAAGGGCTGCTCGTCTTCTTTCCCATTCCACGAGGAAATTTGTGGGTTGTGCAGATACGCTGTGTAGCCACGCCCATCACTAGGTCTTATTTTCAGGGGTAGGGCTTATATTGCACAGATGCTTAGAAATCCTGCTGGATCCTATTGTACGGGTAGGTCTTATTTTCGGGGAAACAGTAGTTATGCTCCAGCAAAACGTTCACGCCAGCAGTGTTAGCCGATCTGGTCTGTGAGCTGCAGTTTACCGACCCTGGGGAGAGGTCAGCAGCCTCCCCACTCCTTATCCTGGGCCGCCCTCTTGCGGGCCTCAGTCACCATTGTCACCCGGCTGGGGGAACGCCTGGAGAAGCCAGACTCTGGCGCCACTCCCCCAAGGTGGCCAAGGGAGCTCGTCCCACAGGGAGAGCCAGGCCCGGGTCCAGGGGGCCCGCGGTGACACACCTTCACCCCACAGGCTGCGCCGCTTCTGCCATTACATCGTGACCATGCGGTACTTCGAGATGGTCATTCTTGTGGTCATCGCCCTGAGCAGCATCGCCCTGGCGGCTGAGGACCCTGTGCGGGCAGACTCCCCCAGGAACAACGTGAGTAGCTGCAGGTCCCCCTCCCCCTCCGCGCACCCCTCCCTGCGGGGTGTCTAGAGACAGGATAAGCCGGGCTGTGTCAGGGCCGTGCCAGAGGGGTGTGCGACTGAGTCTGGCCTCCAAAAACTGCCACCCGTGGTGCCCTGGCTACTGGTCGTCTGCGCAGAGGCCTGGAGGGAAAACTGGAAGAGCAGCCCTGGCCGGGCTTCCGGCTTGGTCTCTGGGAACTACCTTCCTTTTGGTTTCAGGTTCTGAAGTACATGGATTACATTTTCACAGGCGTCTTCACCTTCGAGATGGTGATAAAGGTGAGCTGCGTGGCGGCCCCTGATGCCCCGGTGTTTTCCTCGCTCTCCCTCTTGGCTGGGATGGGCCTGGGGGGGGGCAGGTGTACCACTGACCCTGTAGCGCCTCGTGAAGGTGTGTGGTGAGAGCACCGGGCGTGTGCTCCGTGAGGGAGCCTTTGCATGCATGTATGATGGCAGGAGAGCACGTGCTGCGTGTGTGCATGCCGTGTTTTGGGGAACAAGAGGCTTTGCCGCCTACTGAGGATGCCCCCCCCCCCAGCACAGGATCCCCCTGGGTGCCGCAGCAGTGTGCCTGGTCTCTGCTGCCCTTGTAAATGTGCACCTGTGGGCCCAGCCCCTCCCAGGACTGTCTGTGACAGCAGAGGGGGCGGCCATGTGACAGGTGGAGGAGAGACCTGGGGGGGAGCTGGAAGGTTGCTGCAGGCAGGTGCTGAAGACACAGATTTGAAAGGGGTCTGGTGTTTGTCTGGGGATAGGTCAAGAGTCAGCCACCTCATCACAGCTTCGTTTTCTGTCTCTAAGTGTTGACGGGAGGGGCTCCCTTATCAGTGTCTGACTGCCGTGATGCTCAGGTGTGCGTTCCGTGTGGTTGAAATGTGCACGCACACGTGCACATCCGTGACTTCAGTGCAGTTTGGGGCGTTCATGTGCCCACATGCGTGCACTCAGGGTGGCATTTGTGTGCATCATCCCCGTTTCACAGGTGGGGAAGCTGAGGCTTGGAGATGTTAGGGCACTTGCCCAAATCACAGCACCAGGAATGGCAGAGCCAGGACGTGAAGGAAGGTCCATGGGACTCAGACCAGCTGTTCTTTCTGCTGCACTGAGCTGGCCCTTTGAGGTCTAGGCAGGGTGTGAGCCCCCTAAGGCCATATGTGCCTGAGGGACAGATGGAGACAAACACCTCTCAGTCTCGTCGGGGTTCCAGGGAAGCTGGGAACCCAGGCAGGTCTCAGGCAGCCATGGGCCACGTAGGGATACTTGGGTCAGTGGCCTTGAGGTCCAAAGGTCCATTGAGGCCCTTAGAGGGCTTGACCTGGACTGTGTCCCCCTTCCTGGGAGGGCGTGTGAGCATGTGCCCAGGCTGCACTGAGGCCACGTATGAACACGAGCACACCCACCAGTGGGGCCTTCACTGGGAGGGAGTGACACAGAGCCACGTCCCTCCCCCGTGACCCTGGAGTGCCATGTTCCTAACGTGTGCTTCTCCCCCTGCAGATGATCGACTTGGGACTGCTGCTTCACCCTGGAGCCTACTTCCGGGACCTGTGGAACATTCTGGACTTCATTGTGGTCAGTGGGGCCCTGGTGGCGTTTGCCTTCTCGTAAGTAACAGTGTCTGCTCTGGATCCAGCTAGGTGCGGCCCCAGAGCCGTGATGGGGTGCAGGGGTAAAGTCTGTGGCTCCACAGCTGCACGTAGGGGCTGGGCTGTGTGGGGCCCGGCACTTGGGGCCTGTCTGTCCCCGATGTGGCCTGTGGCTCTGGGATTGGGTGCGCAGGTCTCTGGCGTGCTTGCCGTCTGCCCCTCGGGGTCCTTCAGCGTGACTTTGCCCACTCTGAGGTGACTCCCAGCCAGAGCTGGTGGTCTCCTCCGCTCGTGGGGTGTCAGGTTGCTCCTCCCGACTCCCTCGTTGGTGATGCTGTGCCCTGTCTGGGTTGGAGCTGGAGGCGGCTCTGTCACGCTCTGCGTGGAGAGTGTCAGGGCTCGGTGGGACTGGGAGTGGGAGACAAAAGGGGAGTTGTGGGGTGAGAGCCAGAGACAGGGAAGACCCTGATGGATGACAGGTCTCGGGGGCTTCGTCTTCTCTGCGCCCCGGGGGGTGGCCCCTGCACGGAGGCCTCTGCTCGATCCTGCAGCTTCACTGACTCTGCTCTCTTTGTCTTCCTGGTGCTGGACTCTCGGTAGGAGCTTCACGGGGTAATGCCTTCTCTCTCTCCCCTGCACCGCCCCGACATCATAGCACACCAACCGCCCATCCTGGGCTGTTTCATCACCAGCCTCACCCCCTGCTCACCCACCTTCCCCCCATCTGGGCTGCATGCTGCCAGGAGCCATGTCCCCAGGCCAAGTGTCCCTGTCACGCCTCTAGGGCTGGGTTAGGGGCTGGGGCTGGACACGCTCGGTCCTTGGTGAGGTGTTTCCTGGTGAGCAGGGTGTCCTGGTCGAGGGCTAGAGGCTGGGAACGTCAGCCTGAAGGGCAGTGAGGGCTCCGGGTGGCAGCTGCCAGCTGTGGCCATGGCCCCTGGATGTGGGATGGCCCAAGTTGCTTTCCCAAGGCAGCTTTCTTTCCACCCTTTCCTCTCCACACTGGCCCTTGCGATGCCCAGTTTCTCCTCGGGGTGTCTTAGTAGACCCTCTTTCTATGATGAAGGAAATGAGAGCTTTGCCAGAGTGTCAGCAGGGGCCTTGGAAGTGAAGATGCTGCAGCCAGGGCTGCTAGAGACAGTCCCAGCAGGAAGAGGGAAGGGTGAGACCCAGCCTGGTGGCCTCAGAGCAAGAGGATGGGAGTGGGCCCTGAGCTGGCCACTCGGCACGGACTCCAGGGGGCCGCCTCCCAGAAGAACGCCCCTCCTGGAGAAGCAGTGTGGCTTTCCTCCTGCCCTGCCCCCACCCTGGGTCGGTGTCTGTCCTGCCTTCTCCCTGCGGGCAAGGAAGCTGGTTTGAGAGTTGGCGTTGGGAGTGCTGCAGTGATGGAAGTGGCTGGCGTGGTCGGGAGGCAGGGCTCTTCCCATCTGGAAGCCTGTGTTTCAGGGGGACTTGGGTGCAACTCTGGGGTGTATGCTGCTGCTGGGGAGAAGAGGGCTTGGTGCCCAAACTCTCCTGTCTGCACAAAGATGGCCTGGGCCATACCGCTTGCTCTGCCCACCCCACCCCACCCCACCCCAGAGCTTTGTGGAGCCCAGGGAAGACCATGGGGCAGGACCACCCATATGCAGGCCACACAACTCTGAACACGGGGGCCAGGGCTCCAGGTGTGAGTAGAGCCCACCCAGCCCTGAGCCCTCAGCTCCTGCCCCCATGCCCCGCCAAGTGGGCTGTGGTTTTGCTTCTGAGAACAGGCCTCTCCTCGACACTGCTGGCCTGGCCTCAGGCAGGGTCAGCTGGAGGTCTGGGCCTAGAACCTGCTAATTCCCAGGCCCCTGACTAGCAGAGGCAGCTGCCTGGATCTGCTCTGGCTTTTTCTGTCGGAGGCCGTGCTCTGGCCCCACCGAGCTTGCTTGTCGTGCCTGGAGTTTTCTCTCCCTGACGTCCTCTCTCGCCACCCTCCCTGTGGGCCTGCCCTGTCCACTGCTCTCTTTGTCTCTCCATGGCTCTCCCCCACCCCCGGGTTCATCTCTCTTTATCCACCTGCCCTTCGCATCACCTCTGTACGTGTCTGCCTTCGTCTCCTTCTCACCATCCATCCCCTTCCCCTTCCTTTCTGTCGGTGTCTGTCATCTGGATGAGTGTTAGGGCAGCTGAGATCTGTAGGAAGAGGCCAGGCAAGGCCCCCTTACCTCCCTCTACTGGGACAGAAAAGCAGGGGAAAAGGTCCTTCAGAAGGTTCTAGCACTGAGGGACCTGCTTGTAGACTTCCACTTCTGGATCTACAGTCCTTGTGCAGCCCCCTCTGTCCTCGGTGTTCCTAGGGGCTGCTTTGGGGGCGGGTGTCAGTGATGGTCTGAGGGAAGGGGTTCTTCCAGCCGGAACCTCGGCTCTCCCTGTACACCAGGTGCCACTGTCCTGGCCCTGGCCCCGGCCCCATCCCCTGCCCTGTCCCCAGAGGAGGCCCAGGCCAGGCAGCCCACGGGAGGAGATAGGTGGCCAGTGGTGCCTGCGGGGCAAGGCCTCGCTGCTCCCGGCTCCTCCACCCTGGAGCCTGAGACAAACGAGCAGGGCAGTGTGAGCCAGACCCTGGAGGGCCGCGGTGAGCTGGGCACGGCCACACCTGCTGCCTGTCTGCATCTGTGGTTTCTCCTTCTAGAGGATCCAAAGGGAAAGACATCAACACCATCAAGTCCCTGAGAGTCCTGCGTGTCCTGCGGCCCCTCAAGACCATCAAACGGCTGCCCAAGCTCAAGGTTGGAGCCTGGAGTTGAGGCTTGAGGGGTGTGCTGGGCATGTGTGCACACATGCATGCACGTGTGTATGCACGTGCCACATGAGTGTGTGCATACATGTGCATGCGTGCACGTGTCTTCTCAAATCACACACCTGCATGAGGGGGATGGGTGTACTCAGCTGGAAACCCCCTGCCCCAGTAGACCTTGTTCCCAGTAGTCTCCCGTGTGATTCCTCTTCCCTGGCCCAGTGGGACCAGACGGCACGGGGGTTTTCTTCTACAGCCGCAGGGCAGGGCAGTGCAGAGGGGCTGCCCAGAGAGGTGGAGGATTGTGGAAGGAAAGGCTGGCAGGGCAGCGGCTCCGGGGAGGTTAGGGTTAGGAATGGGCACAGCTGAGGTTGTGGATAAAGGGTGAGTGGAAGCCCAAACTCTTGGAGTAGTGCAAAAATCTAATTATTGAGCGTGTGCTAGGCACTGTGCTGAGTGCTTTATGTGCTTTAACTCATTTAATCCTCCAAATTTTGTGCACTAGTTTCTGTTATTAACAGCTTGGAAATGCAAGCCATAAAGGCCATTAGGCAATGTGGGACTTGCAGAAAAAAATTTGCTTAGACCCTGGGTGAAGGGGTGGGCTAGTAGATAGCTTGGGGAGGCGTCCAGAGACCCTCTGGGTCTGGGTGGTGTTGCACCTGGTCTGGCAGGTGAAGGGCGCAGTGCAGGTGGGTGTCTGGTTGTGCCAGGCATCATCTCGGGGGATGGGGGGCGTCTGCCAGGCAGCTAAAGAGCAGGACAGCTCAGGAGGCGTCTCCTCAGCTCTGGGAGCAGTGCTGGGTACACAGGGAACATTGAGCTTCCAGGCAGGGAAGAGCACGAGAGGAAGCCCATGGAGGTGGTAGC